GAAACTTTAGGATAGATAACTCTTAGGTACTTGTCAATTTGCAAAGAAAACACTTGCCTATTTTCAAACCACACTTCACAAACACTTTCAAAACAAACTTTCAAAAAAAACCTTGAAACATCTTTTCAAAAGACAAAACACGTTTTCTAAAACATTCGAGTAAAGAATTGTTACAAGGGTAGCCTATACAAGGCATCTTTTCAAAACATTTTCAAAACCACACACCAAGCACCATTTCAAACAATTGAAAACCAAGGCAAGTTGATCTAAGCAAGTACCTAAGAGCCCATGGATAACCATGGATAGAAAGGGTGCTAATACCTTCCCTTTCTATAATCTACTCCCCGAACCCAAGAAAAATCTCAAAGGTTTTTGCTGTGCTTTTTAAACCTTTCCTTAGGATAAAATAAAAAGTCGGTGGCGACTCTTGCTCAACCGAAACATTTGCGAAAACAAACGCAAAACCATAGTCAGTTCTCCCACCGTATCACACACCGATCACAGCAACCAACTCTAAATCATGCGTAGGATAATTCCTCTCATGAACTTTAAGTTGCCTTGAAGCATAAGCTACCACTTGTCGATTCTCCATCAACACACCTCTTAAACCCATCAATGAAGCATCAGAGTACACCACAGATGGTTCTGTCGGATTAGGAAAAATCAAAATAGGAGCGGTTGTCAACCTTCTCTTAAGCTCTTGAAAATTAGTTTCACACTACGAAGTCCAAATAAAAGCTTGACCCTTCCTAGTCAACTACGTCAAATGTAACGCCAACTTAGAAAAGCCTTCAATAAACTTCCGATAATAACCAGTCAAACCATGAAAACTGCTAATCTCAAAAATAGATATCGGAGCTTCCCATTGAGATATAGCCTCAATCTTTGCCGGATCAACAAAAATACCACCACTCGAAATCACATGACCAAGGAAACTCACTTCCTTCAACCAAAACTCACACTTAGAAAGCTTAGCATACAACTTCTTCTCCTTCAACATAGATAACACAATCTTTAAATGCTCAGCATGATCCTCTTCACTCTTAGAATATATCAAAATGTCATCAATGAACACAATGACAAATTGATCCAGATACTCATGAGAAATCATGTTCATATATTCCATAAATACACCAGGTGCATTGGTCACACTGAACGACATTACAGAATACTCATAATGACCATACGTCGTTCTAAAAGCAGACTTCTGAATATCTTTAGCCTTCACATGAATCTGATGATACCCAAATCTCAAATCAATCTTACTGAACAATATGCATCCACCAACTGATCCATCAAATCATCAATCCTCGGAAGTGGATACTTGTTCTTAATAGTCACCTTGTTCAGATCTCTATAATCAACACACAACCTCATAGAACCTTCCTTCTTCTTAACTAGAAAAACATGTGCACCCCAGAACGACAAACTCGAACGAATAAACTTCTTATCAAGTAAATCCTCAAGTTAACTCTTCAATTCTTTCAACTCAGAAGTTGACATCCGATATGGAGCCACTGAAATGGGACTAGTTCCAGGAATTATATTGATCATAAACAGCACCTCACGCTCTGGAAACAAATCACTTACATATTTAGGAAACACCTCAGAAAAATCACGGACAGCAGGCAACTCACCCATAATTCACTTCTCACCGAGATCCAAAATTTCCAACAAAGCAAACAACACAACACCATCTTGCACAGACTCATCTACTTGCTTAGCAGACAAAAACAAATCCCTCTCGACACCAGAATCAATAAAGATAATCATCTTATCAGAACAGTTGATGTAAACATGATTGTGCTCCAACCAATCCATACCAAGAATCATATCAAGTTGATCTAACGGAAGACAAACTAAAGCAATCCCAAAGTCTCTACCAAAGATACTCAACGGACAATTCAAACACACAACAGAAGTAGACACAGGACCCATATCATAAGTATCAATAATCATATTTCCATGCATATTAGACTATTCAAGATTCAACCTCTTAACATGATTAAAAGAAATGGAAGAATGCGTTGCACCAGTATCAATGATAACAATTAAAGGTGTACCATTAATAAAGCATGTACCTCAGATTAGTCTATCTAGGCGAGTAAAACTTTGTAAATATTTCTTCTTTTCCCCGTGTTTTCTTTTGCATGCATTCCCTATTTGCATTTTTCCTTTGGCTCTTTAGCTTTAGATTAGAACACACTTTTTGATTATAACAACAAGAGTGGATCATGTGGAGTATCACAGACATGAGGGGTGCTAATACCTTTCTCTCGGGTAATCGACTCCCTTACATGTATCTCTTGGTCGCGAGATCTTGATTTCACTCTTCTCAGGTTTACTCGATGTTTACTTTTCCCTTCCAGTGGGATAAAAAATGTTCGATGATAACTTCATTGATTTTCTCTCGATGATTATTCGGCCGGTTGTATCAATCACACTTCACATAATCATGTATTTAACATATTTCAATGCAATTCACATATTCACATATACAACATTGCTCAATGATTCATGATTCAAAGATAATCTGTCATAAATATTATAAATGTAACATTCACACTAATATCATATATTTCACACCAACTCAACATTTTCATCAGCACATGTGACTCCAATGCAATTCAATGAAATATGCATGTGGTACTGATTGTTATCCTTATCGGTCCTGCTGGGTCCACATCTCTAAGACAGATAACCACCAAAAAGCCCGTTCTCTAAACTTTCAAACCCCCATCTCCAGGTTTAGGACAAGTCAATAAATCCCACGGAAATACTAAACATTGCCTCTTGACACAAACGATGCATGTGCAATCTCAACATATATATGCAATTAAGACAATCTCCATATCTTAATCATACAAGTATATCTCACACAATTCAACACATTTAAATTATCTTCACTAAATTACACAACATACATACACCATGTCAACATTCACATACAATACATACTTATAGCATTTATCAACTCAACACATCATTATAACATGTAGCAAACAAGTCTAAACCATGTTATCTTCAATCAACATCAATTCTCAACAATTACATTCACAAAATAAAGTATCATATTTCCATTGAAAAGTGCATCAAAACCAATACAAAACACATAATAAAATCCCACAAAATTCATGACAATTCATGATAAATCATATACATCCATGATCCAGAACAGTTTCATAAATTATAAAGTTTTGCATTTCAGACCGCGCTAAACGCCCTTCACTGTGCTAAGCGGCCTCAGGATTATGTAGAAAAATCCATTCCAAACAGTCATTTCTCATTATTTAAATGTATTATAACATATATCTAACATATAATATCAATTACAAACATCGAAGCATGATTCAAACATCAATTTCATGATTTCGCATTCAAACCCTAACATGTCAAAATCTAGAAATTGAAGAACAAATCCATAATTTCATGTTACTACCCATCACATACCATTACATACACCCATAAATCAATGAATACCCACCCTTACCTTAAATGTAGATACTCTAGGATTCTATCCTCTTCTCTTCTCATTTTCTCCTCTTTTCCTCTTTCTTCTCTTCTCTTGTTTTCTTCACTTTCTCTTTCTAATTCTATATCTTCCTTATTTTATTGAACTCTTACTAACTCTAAATGGGCTTAACTCCACTCACCCACTCTAATGAAACATAAGGCTCAAATATGTATTTTTCTATTCTCACACTCAATAACCCAATAACACATAATACACACTTGTTCCAATAAATCAATTGTTCACATAATCACACAAAATCAAATAATTAAATAATTATCAAACTAAATAATAATTAACATGAAAATTAAATAATAAAATAATTAGTAAAGAAAATCGGGGTGTTACACTTGGGATCCCTGATCATTGCTACTAGTCATGGTTTTGAAGCATCGTTTCACAATTTTGTATGGTCTGGGAGAGTTTTACCAGGCCCTACGGTGGGCGCCAACTATTTTTGAAGAACAATATTCGATAACTTTCCCAGAGTAGGCCGAGAGAAGCTGCACTAGTAATGAGTTTTTGATCAAATGATTGCCTTCCACTCTCGTTTCAGAGAGTGGTCCTTTATAATGCTTACTATCATTTATTAGAAGTGTTGGTTTTAATGATAAAACTAATATCATTTATTAATTATAATTAATAGCTTATTTGAATAAAACCGAAAGTTAATAAATAAGAACATAATAATAATAATTAAAAAAAATCAATGATGCATTGATATTATAAAAAGACAATTAAAAAAAAAATCAATGATGCAAATACAATACTTTTTATGAGATGAAAAAAATATACATTATTCTTAAAATATTATTTTATTTTATTTTTATGTTAATAAGAAATGCATAAATAATTAATAAATATAATTTAACAATATTATATTTCCTCATATTTATTATATTTATATTTTTTTATGTTTACTACTTTCTCCGGTCATTAATATATAAAAAAATTAATTTTTGGATCATTATTAAAAATTTACTGTATTTGGATAATATGTAATCAAAATACATAAATTTTTTAATAAATTTAAAAAATAACTTTTTTATATTAATATTAAAGACCAAAAAGAGTATATTTAAAATTTTCATATTTGTTTAATATTAATTTTGTATTCTTTTAATATAAAAACCCTAAAAAGAATATGTTTTTGAGAATGAGTTGTAGTTAAGTAGGGGATGTTATGTTTGCCAATTGGGTCACCAAATCTCTGTACTCTGTACTCTCAGTCTGATCTAAAATAGAACAAACCCTTCTTACTTCTGACACATTTCTTCCTTCAATTCCCTTTTGTCTTTTTCCTCTTCTATCTTTATTTTCTCTTTCTCTCTCATTTTTTATTCCCCTCTATCTCAATTTTTCTCTTTTTGTCCACACACAACACTTTTTCTTTTACACCAGAAAAATCCACCTACCTCTCGATTTTCTTCACTTTTTGCGTCTTGGGTTTCAAGCTACGTCTCTCTTTTACGATCAAAATTGTATCTTTATGTCATCCTCTGTAAGTAATTTATTCTAGCTTTTGTTTTTGTTCATGGATCGTTTCTGATGAAAATTGAATATTCCACCTTCTCAGATTTTTGGATTTTGATTAACTTTATGCCAATTTGTGTTTAATTGCAAGCTTATGAAATTGATGGGTGGTGGCAATCTAAATTCCCTAGTTTGCAAGATTGTGTTTTTGTTTATTGCTGTTTTGATCCTAAGGTCTCTATTGTTTCCTTCCAACAACCTTGTTGTATATATGACCAATAAGAATGTTTCATCCTATGGTTTTGTTGTTGAACAACAAAAGTTTTTGGAGGTTCCACAGATTGTGTGGGGATTAAACAACCAAAAGATTGCATTTGCAAGGGCTTGTCTCACAGCTAGAATGTTGAACAGAACTCTATTGATGCCTAGTCTTAGTGCTTCCTTGTTCTACAAGGAAGTTGATCTTTTGAAACCAATTTCATTTGACAAGGTTTTCCAATTTGACAAGTTTAATGAACTATGCAGCGGTTTTGTCCGATTGGGCCGTTACTCGGATCTCACGAACGCAACAGGAGTGATCGAAATCCAGAAAGGAAGTGGTAGAAAGTGGACTCTGGAGAGGGATTTGGATCACTTGAGAGAGGTTAAAGATGGTTCATTTTATGACTATGAGGTGGTTAAGATTGTTGGGAAAAACCCTTTTTTGTGGCATGATCATTGGCCTGTTATGGATTACGCTAAGGTTTTCGAGTGCTTGGTTTTGGTTGATGAGATTTCGCGAGAAGCTGATAGAGTTGTGTCTATGATTAGAGAAGTTGGAAACAATGATAGATATGTTGCTGTTCACATGAGGGTAGAAATTGATTGGATGATTCATTGCAAGAAATTGGAGCAAAGATTGAACACAAATCAAATATGTAGTAGCAAGAATGAGATAATCGAAAGAGTTGGGAACATTGAAGGTCTTAATAAGAGTCCTCCAATTGTTCTTTATCTTGCGGTGGCTGATAAACTTCTTCAAAACTCTTCAATACTTGAAGGTTGGAAACAAGGTTTTTTACCTTATGAGAAGAAGAAACTTGGTGTTGATAGAATCTATGGAAAATATTCTTATTTAGTTCAGTCTGCAATTGATTATGAAGTGTGTTTGAGAGCTGATGTGTTTGTTGGGAACAGTTTTTCTACTTTTTCAAGCCTTATAGTTCTTGAAAGAACACAAAAGATGATGAAATTGGGTGTGAATGAAATGTGTGGAAGTGATGTAAAATGGCCTTCTTTTGCATATAATATACAAGGTGAATTGAATGGTCCAGTGAGATGGGTTACAAATATGTCTGATTCAAGTCTTCAAGCTATCAGCTATGGCACTAATCACATTTCGTGTTAACATTTACGGAGCACCGATATTTTACATCGAAGGTATACTCAGAGTCCGACATATTGTTACGATATCTACACTACACACACATGTAACTACATTCAAATTTTATGTTATTTTTTGAATTATTACCGGTGTCGATATGTCTGGTGTATGATTGAGAGATAAAATACAAATGTGTTAAGATAAGAAGTAGATGTTTCTTTTTCAGATTCTTCATGTGATTGATGGTGGGATTATTATGATTCTAATGTAAAGATAGTTACCCTTTGAAAGCAAAGGAAGAATATTCCTTGTTGAGTTATGTGTGTTTGCACTTTACTTGTGCTTTCCTTCTCTTTGCTTGTTATTTTCTTGATGAGGATAAGATACAGATAAGGAGCTAAGAGAGACACAACAAAAGGACTTGTCTTAACATGTGTTTTGGGTTACGTTGTCCCACCACCAAGGTGAACAGTAACATATGTGTCTCTTGATAATGGGCTTTATTGTCAGGACAGGGACTGCACTCTGTTGTTTGTAGGTCCTGATTAATTGTAAAATTTTTTATCTATTAATGTTGTTGGAGTCAAGGTGAAATTTAATACTAACATATACATATATTCCTTTATTAAATAAAATAGTCACGAGTTCAATTTTAATATTAATGCAGGTATATAAAATACTTATGGTATCTCTACGAGCGTTCTCTGAGTCGTGAGACTTATTTTGATTCTGAAAAGTCTCTGAGTCCAATTCGCCTAAATTTTTTTGTATTAAAGAAAATATACTTATTGAAGAAAATATTTATAAGAGAGATTTTTGTGATGATTCTGAAGAAAAAGAGAATGATGAATAGAAAAATGTAGCTCTGATGGTTACAAAATTTGACAGTGAGCAAGATACATATGATGAAGTAGAAGACATATGATGAAGTAAGCTTAAATAAGATAAAGATAAAGTAAGCTTAAAATTTTACAAAATCATTACAATATTTTACTTGAAAAAGAAATTTCTTTGAATAAAGAGATTGAGAATTCGAAAATAAAAAACCCCATTTTAAAAGAAAAATCTCAATCATATGCACCTAACAGCTCTAACTTTGAAATATGTGTAAATTTTCAAGAATTCTTAGATATTGGAATAGGGAGAAGCAATGTCCTAAATGATCTAAGATGTTGGCATCGACAAAAGAACTCAAAAGATGATCAAATTTGGCGTGAATGAAATGTTTGGAAGTGATGTAAAATAGCTTTCTTTTGCATATAATATAAAAGGAGAATTGAATGGCCCTATGAGATGGGTTACATTTATGTCTGATTCAAGTCTTCAAGCTATCAACTATGGCACTAATCAAATTTCTTATTAATATCTAAAGGTAAGTTTAATCTTTGACATCCTTACAACGTCTACACATATAGTTACGTACAAATATTTTTTTAAATTATTAACAGTATCGATGTGTCTGGTAGTATGTATTGTTAGCTGATATTCTATTGTTGTTACATTATAATTCATACTTCAAATGTAAGATCTTATTTCTCTTGTTTTTGTTGGAAAAAAACCAAAGTATATAGAAAAAAGAGAAATACAATAACAACATAAAATATTAATGTGAAAACTTTAAAATTAGAGAAAAATCACGACCATACTAAATGACAATCAAAAAATAATATTATGTGAAAATTCTCATAATATTTGGACTATCCTCAACTACCTCTATGCCTCAATACACTCTCATTCTCCAAAGTAAATATTTAACTACCCTCACAACACTCTAACACAAGAGTATAAGAGAAAATATAAAAGTTAAATATAAGCTTAAAATGCTTTTGACTAATGCATCTTGTAACAAAGAACTTGAATCTAATATATAGCTGTGGACTCCCTCTTCATTCAAAAAACTAAGCAATGTAGGACTTTGAAGAGCTTAAATCTTATATATAGTCTTGGACTCCCTTTCCCTTCATAAAACTAAGCAATATGAGACTTTTTCAACATGTATATTTTCAACCAACCTCAACAATCTCTATCTTGTTTAAAAATAATACATTAATTTCCATTGTCTTCATCGTTAATTATACTCCACCATAAAGAGTATAGTCACTTGAAGTTACACCCCTCCAAAAAATTTTACATTGTTCACCGACAATCATAGTTTTAAAAACGATGATACTTCACCTAAAGAAGAGTATACTTCACTTGAAGGAAAACTCCTTCAAGAATTTTTACATGTCAAAAACTAGGTTGAACTTTATTGTGCAACTTCGATGTTGGTAGGAAGCTCTTCAATCATCGACACTCACAACACACCTTGCATCAATACGCATGTGTTAATCCTCTAGCAAAAAGTCATCCTTTTCCATGAAAGCAGAAATGTCATGAGGACGCACTTATGAATTCTCAGAGAAGATCATCCTTTCTCACAGAGAGAGACATTAGTAATATTTGACTTAGAGACCTTCTCTGACGCTGCCCCATCAAGACACTTATACTTTATATGTCCAATATTTTCATATTTCCAACATCTCGCAATTGTTTCATTGTTTTTCTTCACATAAGGACTTCATCTAGCAACCAACACTGAATTTGATGAAGTATTATCCTTACCCTTCTATCTTCTTTCTTCCAAAATAATTTCGCTAGAAACTTCTTCAAAACTCAAAGTGTCCTTCCCATATATCAAATCAGGTTTAATATGCTCATAGGAAGATGGAAAAGACCATATGAATCTCAAAGTTTTATCTTCATCTTCAATCTTGACTCCAATAATTTCTAACTCATAAGCAATACCATTGAAAACACTTAGATGATCAGATAATTTTGTATGTTCATCCATACGTAAACTATGAAATTGCTCCTTTAGCAACAACTGATTTGATATACCTTTTCCTTGATATAACCCTTCAAGTGTCTCTCAAAACTCGTTGGCTAACGATGTACCAAGAACATTTACAAGAATATTCTTAGCCAAAGACATACGGATTGTACTCAAAACTCTCAAATCTAGTTCTCACGCTTCTCGTTGTCCATGTTAGAAATATTTCCTTTCAACGCCTTGTGTAATCCTAATTGTATCAAAATATCTTTGACTTGAATTTTCCACAAGACAACATTGATTCTTCCATTAAATTTCTCTAAGTTAATCTTTATCGTAGTTGAAAAACTTGACATTGCATCCAAAATCTTTCATGCAACAAAACAAAAATTTCCCAACCAACACAGTATAAAATTTATGTTTTGATGTAGAAGATCAGACAAAACTGCAACCACAGAGCATACTAAAAAAATTTATACACCACTAAACCAGACTCTAATACCACTTATTTGGGAAAAAACAAAGCTTAGAGAAAAAAGAGGAAAACAATAACAACACAAAAAATTGACGTGAAAATTGTTATAACACATAGACTATACCCCACACTTCCCAAAGCGAACATTTAACTATCATTCTCAACACTCTAACACAAGAGTATAACAGAAAATATAAAAAAGTCCAATACAAACTTAAAATACTTTTGACTTATGCATCTTGTAACAAAGAACTTGGATCCTATATATAGTTCTGAACTCCCTCTTCTTTCACAAAATTAATTGATGTGAGATTTTGAAAAACGTGAATCCTATATATAATATTGGACTCCCTCTTCCTTCACAAAATTAAACAATATGAAACTTATTCAACATGTATATTTTCAACCAACCTTAATAATTTTGATATTCTTACTTTATGACTTTGATGAGCAGAGTATTGATTTTTTTTAAGTAGAGAATTTGATAATTGAATACAATGATCGATATTGAGGTGTAATTTCCTAATATTATTTAAAGCATATCTTCATTTTTCATGCTACAAAGATTGACGTTGGTCTCTTTTTTTATGTTGTCTCACGCAATGTAAGAGAATTTGAAAGATAGAAGAAGACTCTGCAACATTCTTCTTATTTTATCTATTTGCTTATTTTACAGAAACAAAGAAAGTTTAAATATTTTTTGCACCTATAAAATATTTATGAAATGCACGACACTCAGTCACATTTTTGGGAGATAAAATTATGTGTTAAGATAAGAAGATGCTCTTTTTTCACATTCTTCTTGTGATTGGTAGTGGGATTATTAGGGTTCTAATGTAAATATACTTACCCTTTAAATGCTAAGAAAAAATATTCCTCGTTGAGTTATGTTTTTTTGCACTTTACTCGTGCTTTCCTTCTCTGTCTGTTTCTTATTATCTTGATGATGATAAGCAGACAATAGAGAAAAACACTTGTCTTTAACATGTGTTTTGGATAAATTTGTCCCACTACCAAGATGAACAATAGTTTCCTAATTAAAGGAGTTTGTTTTACTATTTCTTTAAGTTTTACGATGTCACCGAATGTGTGGGACATACACGTCTCTTGAAAAACGGTGTAAATAATTGGGGCATTATGAGAACTTTGGGAACCACAGAGAGAAGTTGACCATTATTGTGAGGTCAGGGACTTTACTGTTATTGTTTGTAGTTCCAGAACAATTGCAAATTTTTATTCATTTAAGTTGTCAGAGTAGAGGTTGAAATTTATTACTAACATTACATATATTTCTTTTAATAAATTTGCCATGGGTTCAATTTTAATGTTAATGCATGAATATTGAGTGTTTCTCCGGGATTGGAAAAAAAAGACTAGTAGTATGTGGGTGAGGAAATAGTTAAAAAAAAAATTTTATGCTTGCATCATATAAGTTATTTAAAAATCCAATTTGATCTTGTTGAACACATTATAACTTAACTTTAGCCTTTGATAATTGTGGTGAATATGAATTAAATTATTTATTTTTTATATATTTTGATTTAGATGATTCAAATTATGTTATATTGGGGAGATTTTGTTATTGAATTTTTGCATAGAATAATTCGAAACAATCTTTTATTAAGAAGGTGTCCAATTTTATAGTTTAAAAACTCTAATGGCCAATTTAAACTTCTTTAAGGTCCTCCAAAGGGCCGATCTATCTTTAAGTACTCTTCCTTTGAGTCCAGACCCATA